GGGCTTATCGAGAAAATTTTATTTTTCTTAACAAATACTTAGTACTTCTTATAGTTCTTTTCAGTACTTAATATGCCTAATGCTGCTCATTATTATTTCTAGGTTTAACAAAATGCGTTTTCGCTTGTATGCGAGAAATAATCAAACATTTACAAACTTAGGCAAATTGCTTGCAGGACTCGCCATTCTGTATATTTGCGAAGAAAGGTTGAAATTCCTAGTCGTACAATTGTAACTTGTGATGAACGTATTGGTTTGTGCAGCATACATCGTTGCAGGAACAAGCGTACGCCCAGCTTAATTTTCAACTTAACCGCAACTCTTCTATGTCGAACTGTGAGACGAATTTATTTAGTTCCATAGCAGGGGAAGCATTCCCGCTTTAATGTTAATCTTTATGAATATATGTGCTTAATCTTTATACATAAACGTTCACGCAAATATTGACTAAATGGTCGGCAATTTTGAAGAAAGAGGAAGCAAGCTTTGTACATCAAAGAATGTGCCGAAAAAGTTTTCCGTGTTTGCTTTTGATGTGCAATTCTTGTTCTGTGGGGGGAAGTTACCATCATTACGAAGCTACGTCAAAAAGATCGTTACTGAAACAGATGTGTAGGGAGGTCTTCCACGACATGCTGGGGATTCTGACTAACGGACGTCCATCGACACATGCTGCATAGCTGGAACTTTGACTTATTTATCGCTGCGCCTGACTGTAGTATTAAGTCCCTAAGTGGCTCCCTATTGCTAGTTTGAAGTACTTACCATATTGAACAAAAGAAACGATTGTACACAGATCTTCATTTGGGTTTTCCTTTGCCATGGCCCACAGTACACTCGTTTAGTAGGCTGATCCCATACAGCCCTCATTTTTGGCTCTTTATTAATACTGCACCCTAATCCGGATACGTACCCAGCAGACTCCGCGCCTAGGAAGCTGTTTCGTTATTGATTAATTCCATGATATATTTGCTAAATGTTACTTTTATGTGACCGTGATAAATTATTGACAATTTATTTGAAAAAAGGACGTTCGCAAGCCCGCATTAAATAAAATATTAATTGTTTTGTCATTGGAAGGTTCTGCGAAAATTCTCATTTCTACGATTGAAAAGTCGTGTTGGCAAACGATCGTTTTCGGTCATTCATCGTCAGGCCAGTACATGACATGGAGAATAAAATAGGTCAATTAATTACAGCGTTTATATAATCGTCAGGTTGGGGAAGGGGGGGAGGAAAAGGGTGAGGGTAGTTAAGCAGCTGGGTTTTCCCTCCTCCTGAATGCGCGCGCCTGCGCGGGTAGGACGCTGGTTGCCATGCGCAGATGAGACAGGGGGGATGTTCTCGCGGTTTTAGTGAGCACGAACTCATACAAACCGTTTTCCAATCGATCAATAGTGTCAGCAGGGTTGACTAATTCATTTGACCCAACTATGGAAACTTGCCGGCCTTGGTGGGATTCGAACACACACCGGCAAGGGGAAGGCCAACGCTCTAGCCAACTGAGCTACGAGGTTCCCACCAGGAGCCGTGAGGTTAATCACGCCCGGGTCCATTTACCCGCCTAACCTACTGCAACTGATACAGTTAGCTGACTAACCAAGCAAGATTTCTTAGGCAATCAATTTAGACTCCACCAGATGCCTACTCGACACGCTTAATGAATAGGGGATTTTGACAGACTTGAATAATTCATTTGGCTCAATTAGTCCATTTTTCTATTGCTTATTTAGTTGGGGTAGTTTTGGAGTAGACCTGGGTTTACTTTCTAGTTATTCCTCTACCAACAGTGTTCTATAGGCTGGATTCCTAATCAATGTAGACTTGAAGAGTTTTCTGCCTGCTAAAATAAGCCGCCAAACAGTATAGCAAACAGTCTTACTTCATTCTACTCACAGCAGTGACTTTCAGTTTGTCCCACATCACATGGTCCTTCATAATTCTAATCACTGGCTTCATAGGAGTCAGAGTGAGCAGTTACACCACACAGCAGGCGAGAAGGGGTAATTCTGCTTGTGATTATAATTATTATCAAGCGTATGCTGAGACCTCTACCTGCACACTATGTACCTACTCGAAGCCAGTGCTAGGATTATAATTATAAAAAACCTCGTGTTGGAGAACGAACTGCGTAATATACCATTAGAATAATATATCTGACAGACGGAAAATCACCGGTGGAAGAGTACTTAGGCATGGAACGTATTTTGGCCCCATAATTACCTCACAGAATGGTAATAAAAACGAATTAGAAAACTGGTATCCCAAATAATTGGGAAAGAGGGTTATTATGTCATTTAAAGCCGGCTAACCAATATAAATGGTGAAAGAGTAGCAATGCATAACAAGGGGTGTATAAAGACCTCGTCTACAACCATGCTAATGCCTCTCCTTAAATTAAAGCGCGAAGGTTCAATTTCATTAAAAGAATTCGTGGTTGAAACAAAATAGCCCAGTTATTTTATGGTTTAGCCGGGCAGGTTTATATCCCAAGTCGCATCTAAAGAGGAAGACATTTTAATTAAAACTAGGGGCCATCGACACAAACTTCAACACCACTCATCCCAACCAACCGAAAAGTATATTCAAAAACTGGTATCTCAATTTCTTTTCCGTCGGCAGCTTTAAACTGATTTGTATCAGAAAGTGTCTTCAAGAAATGTTGGGTCTCTAATGGACAAGGTCACTATTAATGGATCTTCTAAAGAAAGTCCGCTAACAGAACGCACGCTTGGTAACTTTAGAATAGCGTACTGACGACATATGACCATACGACAGAGTAGATCGGCTGCAGTAAGTCCTTCGAAACTAAAATAGTTTAGGTCATAGCCAAGTACCCTATTAAAGAAATATTCCTTTGAAATGTTTTCGTGCTGCAATTTTTTTGAATGGTGTGCATGCAGTACTTACGCTAGTTATGCTAGTAAAAGTTAAGTTATTCACCCCCATTAGATATCCCTAGCCCCAGCATTCTGTCATACAGGACCGGTGATATTAGTTTGGTAAAATTTTTAGTTAA